TGTCACTGCCACCAAATTTATCCACCCTCCACCAGTGGCCACGAGAACCTTGCTGAAATACAAGCCAATCCATGTCCATTGATTCAAAGCCCTCAAATGCTTTTCTATGTCCCTTAAAGTACCTTTACCTTGGGTGACCGGGCCCTACAGTGTCTGGCCTTGCCTGGCTCTTACCCTGGCACCCACCATGCCAACAGTGGCATTGGCACTCGTGCAAACGTCTACAGCTCTTTCCTTCTGCCTGTAGCTCTCTGGTTGCATGGCTGCCCTGTCCGTCCTTCAGTCTTTAGTTCAAATTTACCTCCTCAGAGGGGCGCCTGGGTGGCGCAGTCGGTTAAGCGTCCGACTTCAGCCAGGTCACGATCTCGCGGTCCGTGAGTTCGAGCCCCACGTCGGGCTCTGGGCTGATGGCTCAGAGCCTGGAGCCTGTTTCCGATTCTGTGTCTCCCTCTCTCTCTGCCCCTCCCCCGTTCATGCTCTGTCTCTCTCTGTCCCAAAAATAAAAATAAACGTTGAAAAAAAAAATTAAAAAAAAAAAAAAATTTACCTCCTCAGAGAGGACTTCCTGACCAACTTGTCTAAAACAGGTCCCTGGGATCACCTTTTTCAGAGCACTTATTACAACCTGAATGTCTTGTTTATGTGTGCTTCTGTTTAACACACCACACACACACACACACACACACAATTCACCTGAGTAAATTTAAATCTTAATGGCTTTATTCAGTGATTCATGAATTGGGCAGTATCCTAAATCTAGCAGACAGATAGGAGCTCTGAGGAGCTGTACAAAATGAAAAATTTTTATAAGCAGAAGGGAGCAGGAAATTATACTAGGAAATTATACTAGTGTACTAGTATAGTGCTCTATACTAAGAGCAGGTTGGTTATTGTAAACTTACTTTCCTGCAGAGGATGGCTGGAGTCCATCAGGCAGATGACCTACCTAGTACTGACCAGGTGATTACCGATGGACTGACTTAAGATTCCATCTCTGGGAGAATCCAAACTGTAAGTAAGTCTTGGTTCAGTGATGCGTGGATTAGTATAAGTGACTCCATTTGGGACCTACTGTCTTTTGGGACCTAACCTTTCTTTACGGTCTACCTTGCCCCACTAGAAAATCTATGAAAGCCATGACCTAGGTTTTGTTCCCTCTAGGCCCACGCAAATGAAATGCCTGTGGATCTCTACAGTGGACATAATATACTGTGGAGCAGTCCTCTCCTAAAGCGTAAAGGCTAACCTCATATCCCACCCTCCATGACCAGATCCTCGCCACCTTCTCTAGCCCTCCATCCTCCCCACAGCACCCCCACACCCCCGCTCTGTTTCACATACACCCCTTTTGCTCTAGCAAAAGCATACACATCAGCATACAAAACAGGAAGTGCCTTCCCTCACCTCGGCCCTCCATTGGATTTAGAGGTCTCTTCCAGCATTCATTTTGCATCCTGTGCACAAACCTCATCAAAACATGATTGGGGGGATGTTATAAAGCTATCGAGCCAGCATCTTTTGAACTTGGACGACTCATTAAGAATACAGGCCCTTAATTAAGACTCCCTGGAACAGAAGCCTGACTCCTTCCCTGACTCGTGTACGGTCGTGGGCCAGGTCCTGAACAAGTACTCTGTGCTTCCCAAGTCCTCGACTGTAAAGTGCAGAGAGTAAGGTCCCCTAATGACATGTGAGGCTCTTAGACCTGCCGACACAGCAAGGGCTCTGAGGTCACCCTCATTGTGGGCACGGGGGAGCACAGACCCACAGAGCTTCACTTCCCCGAGGTCCTCCGGCGGCATGGGCCCAAGCTCTTTGTGCGAACAAGCTTTCTGTGGCCGACTCTCTCCTGTCTTACCAACCACAACACAATCCTGGCACCTCACTGGTCCACCTGTCACAGGGCTTGGGGAGCACGGAAGTAGTAGCAACGTGGCTGGTAGGAAGGGTGGCAATTTCTGACAAAGGTGGTGGCGTTTGGCGAATGCATGGGCATGAGACGTAGCAGCACTGTCCTATCAACTCAGCTATGAGCTCGTATACATGACAAACTGTCCCTTCCTGACATGTAGGATATAGGGAGAACTCGCCAGGAGGCCGGGGCCCTGCACCTAAAGGAGGGGGAGTCAGCGAGGCATGTTATTGTTACTGACTCCATTTTTTTGCACACAGGCCTGGGAACATGGTTACATGGATTCCATCCAAAGCCCTTTTACAGTGTGGAGTACGTACGTAGTGGGAGTGGTCGTGCCCAGTCTGTCTTTCAACACCCAGGTAAAACAAGGAATGCCTCTCTCACCCTAAAAATTCTATTCTTTTAAAAAGGACACTTGTCAGTCTTTATTAAGCCAATTCCTTTTTTGTTTTTTAATATGAGACTTAGAATTTCTGCTTTTTAAAGTCAGACACAAATTTATAACACTTTTGAAGCATTCTGAGAGCAGAATCCTAGAATTTTGCCGATTTTCCACTATTGCCTGGTTGATTTATCCATAATTTAACCGTTTTGTTAGCAACTTGCCTTTATTCTTTCTAAATAATTTAAAAAATCAAAGGTTTTCAAAACATTAATGTTCTATCTTTTCGCATTCATAGTTTATCGGTTTGCTTAATATTAAATGATGTCATTACAATAATAGGTACAATTTGAATCCACATTTAAGAATAGGTTCTGTAAATGTAACTCATTTGGGGAGAACCTAAGTGGACAGGGACAGGGTACTAGAGGCTAAAGCCCCTCACAGCCTTGGTGCTTGGCCTACTTTACAGGCAGAAGTCCCTGTGTTTTACAGACACAATGAGGAGTGCTGGCTCAACGGAAATGGGAGGGCAGAACTACTGAGTTGCCAACTAATTCTCAGAGAAAAATTGCACCTGCAGATCCTAGTTTTGCCAGCAGGTGGCAGATGGGGTTCATGAGCTGTTTTTGGCCAGGACACTTGGCCGGAAGCTGAGCCTTTGCCAGTAGGAATGGTTAAGAGAAGACAGACAACCTCCCTTTTCATCATGTGAAGCCCTTTTTTGTCTTTCCTGCTCCTTTGATAGCCTGGTGGTGTTTTTCTCTTCAAGTCAAAGTTGGCAGAATTCCAGGAACTGTGGCGAGGGAACCCAGAACCCTAAGAATACACTGGTGTTCTCACCTATCTTCTTCTTAGCTTCAGTTTCCCGAGCATGGGGCCAATTCCTATCTTGTTGAGGAATCAATCACTTCAGTTTCTTTTTTCTCCTTGAATAGGGAGGAGAGCAATATTTTACCTTCTTGGGAAGCTGGTCACCCGATCATCTGCTGTAGATTGCCTGAAAGTAGATACGGATGTTGCTATCCACTGACTGCCCCCTCCCCCCTGCCCTCCTCAGAGTTCCTCAAGAGAACTTTTTTAAAAGTTTATTTATGTATTTATGTCTCTGGAGAGACAGAGACAGTGTGAGTGCCAGTGGGGCAGAGAGAGAGGGAGACAGAGAATCCCAAGCAGGCTCCACATGGTCAGTGCAGAGCCTGACGCGGGGCTCAAACCCAGGAAACCACGAGATCATGACCTGAGCCAAAACCAAGAGTCAGATGCTTGACTGAGCCACCCAGGCGTCCCGTCCCCCCAAGAGAACTCGTTGACTACCGATGCTGCTGAGTGCCCTTGGCAGGCACCTGGCTTCCTGGCTGGTGAGGCCCTGGGCAGCCCAGCAGGCCTGTGGTCAACCTGCCTCACCACGGTAGGAATTACCAGCTAACTTGGGCCTGTGGGCTTGCATCTCATGGTATGAAGTGAGCTCTTCTTGGGAACACCAAGACCCTGGCATTTAGAGCCTCCGTGCAATAGTTTATACCTGACTCTAGGTAGATGGGTGGTTGGCCCTGAGAGACTTTTCCAGAGATAGGGGTCATAAATTGGGGCACTCTGGTGTGTAGGGTGGCAAGAGGCAATATGTAAGGACACTGCACAGGAGCCAGCGGAGGGTCACTGACATTGCTAGCCCCCAGAGGCCAGTCCTCTCCTCCCTAAGCCCCATCTCCAGGAGCTCTGGCCCAGGCCTACACCACGTGTGGTGGTGGCCAGGGAAAAGTTTTCTGGAGGGATCTGCCCTAATGGAGACTTAAAGTCTGAGGATGAGCTGGAGGAGGGTGAATGGGCAGGGGAGAGGAATTAGCACTAGCTAGAGGGGAGTCTGAAGGGAAATGGGACATAGACTGAGGCTGTGGAGGACAGAGAGGACAGAGGATGGGCACTTCCCATCACCGTGTCACCTTCAGACACATGCCTTGTTCCCCTGCACGGGCCTGGGGCGGAAGTGAGGTGTATATCGCCCACGCTGAGCTCGGACTCCTGGACCCTGGCCCTGGAGCAGAGCCGGGGCCAAGCAAAGGCAAGTAGGTTACGATGGAAGGCCAGAGAGGAATTCTAGGCCAGATGCCAGCTGCAGAGGCCCAGGTGACTCAGAGGCAGAAGGCCTGAGAAAAACTGTCCTGCTCTGGGCACGGGGAGGATGCAGCAAAACACAGATTTGCGTAAGAACAGCTTCCGTGACTGTGACAGCACCGGGTGTTCCTCAGGGAGCTTCACATCCCACTTCCGAAGCCCGTGGGAAACCCTGGGGACCTCCAACGAGCAACTTGGTAACCCCAACCCCCAATTTTGCATGACCATAAAGAAGGAGTCAGGCATCCAGACGTCATGCTAGGACAGCAGATTTAATAAAGAATGCAAAATGTTCCCTGTGGGCTGCTCAGACCCCAGGTGCCATCTGTTTCGGTGGGTCACGGGGCTGCCGTCTCTGACACCTGCCAGGCCCCGCACCGTCGGAGCAGCATCCAGATCCCACGTGGGGCTTGGGCTCCCGACAGTCCCCCTGGGGGTGTCAGCACTCCTCCCTCCAGCTGGCTCTGGAGCTCCTGGCACCACGGAGGCCCAGGTCCAAGCTGCAGGGCCTCGTGGCTCCTCACGAGGCCGGCGGCCGTCTCTGCTCAGGGGCAAGCACTGCTGCAGAAGGGAGCTCTTCCCCCTCCCTCACTTGGGGGCCTTGTCCCCTTTTGCCCCAACAGTCAGGCTTCCCAGGGTTGAGAAGAACTCCTCCATTTCCTTCTGCAGCAGCTGGTTCCTCTTCTCCGCATCTTCCCGGGCCCGCTCCGAGTTCCTCAGCTTTATTTCCAGCATCGTGTACTTTTTCTTTTCCTGGTCCAGTTCTTCTTCCAGCTGCGACATTCGCTTCCTCAGAGTGGCACTACCTTCTTCGAGTCTTTAAAATCAAGAAGAAAGACACTGTTTTAGACTGATGGCTGGGTGTCAGTGAACACGTGCCTGCGTGCACTCCTTCCGAAGGAGCCGGTCAGGCGGCCCAGGGACGGGAAGATGCATGCGGGCTCAGAGCTGGCTCTGCAGCAGGCCCCACAGGCCTCGGCAGTTCCTCCCAGGACCCTGGTACTTCACCCCCCCGGGGGACCTCCCCTACGCCTGTGACCCAGAAAGGCCAGCGTGAGCATTTGGCCCTTTGGCACTCTGAGGCTGGGAGCCCGAGTCCTTGCTAAAATACAAAATCCACTTGCCCTCCAGCCCAGCCAACTGTCCGCTGAGGAATGGACTGCTGGCTGGCAGAAGGCAGGACTGGTCCCCAGATGGAGAC